TTGAAGGCATTGCTAGGTAGAAAATGGAGCGGGGCATTCCAAACAGAGGGAACAGCCTGTACAGTGGGAAGGAAACTGTTCTGACTTGGTATATCTGAAGGAGAATCAGAAATTCACTGTGGCTAGAATCTACGGTGCCTGGGTGGGACCAAAAATATTGCCTGAGCTTTCACTCGTTAGCAAATGGGAGTGGAATACCATACTTGTTCAGGAAAAATGGTAATATCTTACTTAGCTAGTGCTCTAATAGTAGTTAGTTATGACTTTAAAGAGAAAAGGTCATCTTGGGGTGTCTGGGTGGCTCAGTCTGTTGGGTGTCCAACTCGATTTCAGCTCAGGTCATGTTCTCAGGGTTCGTGAGTTTGAACACCTCATGGGGCTCTGCGCTGACAGCTCAAAGCCTGCTTGGGATTGTCTCTCTCCCTCTGTCTCTGCCCCTCCCCCACCTCAAAATAAAAAATAATTAAAAAAAAAAAAGAGAGAGAAGGTCATCTTTAAGAAATTTGCTGTGTAGAGTGCTATATATTTCTATACCAAGTACTGAGTTTCAAGAGATTGAGTACTTCTATTCATTGGCAGTAATTTTTAAGTCTCATATATATTATGAGATATATATCATATATATTTAAGATAGCTGCAGTTATTTTCTTTGTAAAAGCAACTGATCTACCTGACTGCAAATAAATTTAGGCAAAGCCATCAAGATAAAAAAACAAACACTGTAGGAGCGTGGGCACATAATGAAGTCATTTTAAATGAAATGTGTCAGGCGGAAGGAGATGGGGAGAAGAGAAAGAAGGTACTTTGCATGTGATATATTATTTAATCTGAACACACTTTGTGATGGGGATATTATTGTCACTGTTTCATAAGTGAGGAAACCGGGGATCAAAGAAAGGAGTTCCTTATAAAATCAGCTGATTAAACTGAAGCCTTAAGTTTCAGCAGCTGAGACTTATTTTTCCTCTGGAAAATGGAGATACAGGCACTGCCTACCTGAAATGAAATAACAGAGAGAACTTGAGACAGCATTCTTGACCTTTACCATATTTTAAGTTCTCTGACTCTGTCCTGATGTTTCCATATTGTTCAAAACTGGGTCTTCCTAAAAGAAACTTTTTGAAGCCTGGTTGTGGAGAAACTCTTTTTCCAGCACATCTTAAAATATACTATTTCAAGGTATTTACTTTTAAATCATTAAAATATTGTCTCTATATGTTTTTCTCTCTTTCTTTCTTTCTTTTTCTTTTTTTTTTTGTATAAAAATAGACTATAAACTTTGACTATCACTCCATATTCATGTAAGGAATATCCTAGAAGAAGAAGTTATAGTCCCTTAAATACCTTCAGTTTTTAATTTCTTGACATTTTTAAAATGCTTTTGTTTGGAAATGTATTTTTCCCTGTCTTTTAAACAAAATGAACCAAACAATGCTATGTGTGTGCCAATGATACTCTAATAGTGATGTAATGGGACAGATGGTAGCTATACTTGTGATGAACATAGCATAATGTATAAATTTGTCAAATCACCAGGTTGTACATATGAAATTAATGAAACATTGTGTGTCAACTACACTCAAAAAATAATAAATTAAAAAAATAATATTATGTGTCAGGCACAATTCTAAAGATTTTACATAATTAACTTCTTTAATCCTTACAACCCCTCCATAAGGGACTTTATTATCTCCATTTTCTAAGTGAGAAAACTGAAGCAGAGAGATATTAAGTGACTTGCCTAAGGTCATACTGTTGTTAAGAGGATGAGCCAGGATTTGATTTGAGGCTTCTAAGTTACAGAATCTGATCTTTTTTTTTTTTTTTCTTTTTTTGAGAGAGATTGAGAGAGAGAGAGAGAGAGAAAGAGAAAGCAGAAGTGGGGAGAAGGGCAGAGAGAGAATCTTAAGCAGGCTTCATACTCAGTGCAGAGCTGAACTTGGGGCTCGATCCCATGACCCTGGGATCGTGACCTGAACTGAAATCAAGAGCTGGAGGCTCAACTGACTGAGCCATCCAGGTGCCCCCAGAATCTGAACTCTTAAACACTGAGTCATGATGCTACATTTCTGAAGATAATGGATCATCTTCCTAAATAAATCAGGGCAATGACTGTGTATATCAATTTTTATTTGATGTCCACAGAAACTACTGTGGTCTAGCACAGGTTGTATCCCTGTAGTATAGGGATGTCCTTATCTATTACACTTTTTGATATACTTTACCTGCTTTCTTTGTCCTCTGTGAAAAAATAATTATCTTCAATGTATCTACTCCTACAAATTGCCCTCTTTCTTCCAATTATTCTGCTTCCAACTTCCTAAAATCCAGAAACCAGATCACCCGATATATTAGAACTGTCTCTGAAGTAGGAGTTGTGAGGTCTTGAGGGACGACCCAAGCCTTTAGTGAATGGACTTTGTGACATCTGTGACAGGGATCTTTATTTTTTGGCATGTCTTCTGTTATCCACTGTGATCCAGATAGTTTGGATGGCTGGGTAAGTGACTTCTCGATAAGTGAGGTGTCACAAAATATAAATTCAAGGCATTTCTACTCTTCCACCTGTTCAAAAGTATGTTAGTCATCATCATAATTAGAAGGATGGCCTAGTTCCTCAAGCTTTTGGGTAGCCATCTGATGCTTAGAAGTAGAGGGACATGGCTACAACTTGTATAAAAATAGCCCTTCCAGATGGCTGAGGGGCAAAGTTACAACTCAGCAGCTTGATATAGCTGAGCACTCAAATTTTGGAGTAGGAGGAGAGCTATGCGAGAACTAGCCAGAGAGACTGGGCTGGACTCCAATCATAAGTAGAACGGTATATGCCAGGAAAGATCACTTAACGTGGCAGATTAGCTGTTAAGATTTCCTGTTTACTTCTTCTCCATCTCCTCCCCACCTCTCTTGATTCAACCTTACCTCTTAGCCCTAAGGAAAACACACACACACACTTTTTGGAGGGGGACAAAACATAAGAGACTCTTAAATACAGAGAACAAACTGAGGGTTGCTGGAGGGGTTTTGGGTGGGAGGATGGGCTAATGGGCAAGGAGCATTAAGGAGGACACTTGTTAAGTGAGCACTGGGTGTTATATGTAGGGGATGAATCACTGGATTCTATTCCTGAAATCATTATTGTACTATATGCTAACTAACTTGGATGTAAATTAAAAAATACTAAATAAATGAAAATTAAATTAAAAAAAAAAAGGGAGAGTGTAAAGTTGAGATACTTAAAAGGGCCTTAGAATTTTTTTTTAAATTTGTTTATTTTGAGAGAGAGAGAGACAGCGTGAGTAGGGGGAGGGGCAGAGAGAAAATCCCAAGCAGGCTCTACTCTGCAGGTGCAGAGCCCTGATATGGGGCCCCAGCCCATGAAGCCCTGAGATCATGACCGGAGCGGAAACCGAGAGTCGGAGGTTTAACCGACTGAGCCCCCCAGGTGCCCCAAGGGCTTTAGAATTCTACTAGCCTAACTCCTTGTTTTAGACACAAGCGGAGACCTACAAAGGTGGTGACCACTTAGGCTCAACCAGCATGTTTGTGGGACTCAGATCCTCCAGCTTCTTGTCTGGGGCTCACCTTCCCACTCTTCTGTGGGAGGGTGTGTGCAGGTACACCAGGTCATATTGCCCCAGCCCTGCGTCATTCTAAACTCAAAAATTAAAGCCTCTGGTTGAAAAAAAAAAAAAAAATTACAGAAGCTGTGATTTTGCTTCCCCTCCTCAAAACCAATACTAAAGCCCTGACAGAGGAGTCACTAGCTTGAAACCTCATTTCACAAATGGAAGTATTTCCTAATCGAATGCTTCAAAAGACCAGAAGATATCATTTTCACGTTTTCCCACCGCCTGTAAGCCTGCATTTCTATTGGATATTCTGGAAGAAAACTTAAGCCTCTGTCTGTAGTAAATCCATTACTTATCTCAATGTCTGTTCAAATAATTGAACGTTGGTTTTTAAAATACAGAGGTTAGGAATGGATTAATGCTTGTATTTAGCAGTTGTAATAGACACTATTATTTTTGACAAATGAATTGAGAAACATACTGCTCTCTTTCAACATCGCTCGTGATTAGCCTAAACCCAAGGCATTGCTGTGCCCTGCTGGCGGTACAGCCTCATTACAGGTACGAGACTTAGAGGGGCAAAGGGTTTGGGGCCAGCCTTGCCAATGTGGTTCTACGATAAACGGCTTACACTTCCATTAACCTAGCATATTCCTACAAAGGCTTTGCAGGTAGCAAAAAAAGCAAAGCCACAGCTAACTTTTCCCAACACGGTAGGATCTGTTCTTCCCAAGTGAACATGAAAACACTGTTGCAGAGTAGTATGTTACTTTTCCAGAAAAAGTTTCTTTCCTTCTCAGGGAATTTACCCTCAAACTGCATGGAGTAAGGGCTTTGTGTCACCTAACTTGCAGTACCCTGGGAGCAAGCAAGGAGGTCTCTACCCTGGTGTACGTGCTCTGTTACAGTAGTGCGTCCTCAGGCTGCTCAGCTACATAGCCAGCTGATGAGACTGGTCGTTGTGGAAGGAGGAGTGGAGAGAAGACAGGGCAAACATTTTCTTTTTTATAAATGTTTATTTATTTTTTGGGGAGAGAGTGAGCAAGCGGGGGAGGGCCAAAGAGAGAGGGAGTTTGAGAAGCCGCAGTGGGCTCCACACTGACAGCAGAGAGCCTCGCGCTGGGCTCAAACTCATGAACCGTGAGACCATGACCCGAGCCAAGTCAGACACTTTACCAACTGAGCCACCCAGGCGCCCCAGGATAAGCTTTTCTGATTGCTCACCAAGTGCCAGAGTCTCTGCTAACTTTGTTAGAGCTGGCTGGAGTGTTGACTGTCAAAGCTGATCTATGATTAAGTGTGCTAATTCTACTCCAGGTATATCCTCCTTATCCTGCAATTTAGCTGGATTGCTGCATAGGGCTAACCTGAAGCAGTGATCCACCTGCTAGACAGATAGTAACCAAATTAAGAAGGCAAGTCAAGGCATGATTTTTAATACCTTTATTAAGAAATATCAAAAGTTCATTACAGTTGCATACACAGTTTTACAAAGTTCAAGTGAAGGGGAACGTAGGGATGCCATCATATGCATGTTTGAGTACTAGGGTAGCTTGCCAAAAGGGTAACCCTACAACTTCTGTCACCTTAACAGTGGACCCCAACGATGCCTTTTCCCATTTTTGTTAGGCCATAACATAATACCTTAAGTTACTTGAAAGAGTTTTAATGTGTTATAAATACTTCTTAAATAGTTGTCCTTTTATTTGTCATTATTGTTCCCTGAAAAAGCTGAGCTGTTTATAGGAAGCACAGCATCTGAGTCCAACTCACTGCTGTTTGTATTACATTTTCACCAAGCCTGCTTAAAGAGCCACATAACATTGCAAGTTACATGTTACCATATTACGCTTGGGAGAGAACCCACAACACATTGTTATTTTTTATTTAGCATTTTACAAAAAAAAGGGGGAGATCACTCAACTTGGAAACAAAACACCACATTCAGTGGAGTCATTAAGAAGGGGATATGTCTGCAATTCCACTGAGCTCCTCACAAGCGGTCAACGGCATGACCGGGAACAACTGGATGCAGGAACACCAACACAGAATACAGAAAGGGATCTTCTTGGGGATGGTACATCACTCACAACCTTTTACGTCAGGAGCATTGCATCAGAAGGGAATTACACTTTCAAAATAGTCGGGGCTAGTAGGTCATCAGCACCCGATGGGTAAGAGCAACGCTGTGGTGTGCCTTGGTGAAGGCTTGTGCTGGGTTATCTAAACGTAGGGTTTTGAAGAGATTGTCCAGCAACATCAGAAAGAGCCATCTTCAGAGGAAGGACTCCTTGTTCACCCACATGAGGCTACGTGTCTCATTGGGCTTGCATTCGTATTCAATGACAGAGAAGGGGCTTCCCCATTGGCAGTGATCTCGCTTGTGGTAATTGTAGAACTTGACTTGCCACACTGTCTCGAAGGTCCCAATGTCAGTGAACTGAGGGAAGAGAAACACGCCCCATAAAAACCTCATTCTGCCACAAGCAACAGGTAAGAGCTAATGGTAGTGAGAGAGATCCTGCATAATCAATAGTAATCAGTCAGGATTCTTTTGGTCTGCAAAGCTTAGGCCTTTATTTTAATGCACTGTTTTCCTTTATTATGTGAGATATTTTCCTGAAAAGCTGTAAACCACTTTTTTCCCCCCTCTGTAGAATCTTATTCCCATTGTACCAGTGGCATTTGCTGTCACACTGTCTTTAATAAAAATAACTCCCCAAATTTATCTGTTTTCCAAATTTAATTATTGGAAACCACTCTGAATCTCAAAATTTCAGAGCTTGTTACAAAGGGGGATGAGGAAGAGAAGAGAGGGAATATTCATTAATGATTATCTTTTGGTTTCTATTTCAAAAGACCGTTGTATGAAATAACATATGAACTATATCACTAAACATAAGACACAATTGCCTTCCATCATTAATTTCAATTCCAGGGGAAAATATTTTCTTAGCATTTGATTGTTTAAGACCCTTCTTTAACTTTTGCAAATACTATTGAGTTTTATAAGTCAGGAATCCAGGCCTATGTCTCAGGCTTTGATTACACATTATCAAAAGCCATATTTAAGTGCCTACTATGTGCCTTACACATATAAAAATGTGTATAAGGTGTGATTCTTGCCCTCAAGAAGTTTGCATTTTACTTCCAGAAGGTACGCCCTGCGGGTCACTGCACAGATTTTTCCTGAGCCATAAGCATACAATTCCCATGTGGCTAAGAAGAGGGCATAGAATAGCCTAGAGGCCACTGGGCAGGTGCTCAAGTGGCCTGCAGGGTAGCCTGACCCTGCTACTGCCTCCTGGAGCTATTTAGGGGATCTGGCATTACACAGCATGATGCCTGACGTTATTTTCTCCTCTGACCCTCTCCTGTCATGGGAAGGGAGAGGGACTGACTTGGCAGAATTCTTAGACTTGTTAGGAGCCAGAAGACGTGGAGGGTGGCAGGGCAGTGAGCAACAGGAGCCTTATGCTTGAGGCTGCTACAGGAGGAGGATGATCAGGTGCTTCCCAGATGGCTTTCCAAGATGCTCTCAAAATTATATCCTGCACCATTGCCTCATCCTGCTAATTTGATTCCAAAACAAGGTTTGGCTTTCCTTTGAGAAATCTGCCTGACTTGAAACAATGGGTGATATACCTAAAGTCCCCAACTCTTTCCCCAGGTAAGAAAAGAACCTTTTTCTAGTGGATCACGGCTTAACAGTCTAGAGACCTGTATAAGTATATGGTAGCTTTATTCACTATAGCCCCAGGTTGGAATCAACCCAATGTTTCATTACTCACTTGGTGATAAACAAGTTCTGGTATATCTATAAAATGGCATTTTACTCAACAATAAAAAGAAACATAATGAGGGGCGCCTGGGTGGCGCAGTCGGTTAAGCGTCCGACTTCAGCCAGGTCACGATCTCGTGGTCTGTGAGTTCGAGCCCCGCGTCAGGCTCTGGGCTGATGGCTCAGAGCCTGGAGCCTGTTTCCGATTCTGTGTCTCCCTCTCTCTCTCTGCCCCTCCCCCGTTCATGCTCTGTCTCTCTCTGTCCCAAAAGTGGATAAACGTTGAAAAAAAAAATTAAAAAAAAAAAAAAGAAACATAATGATTCAGGCAGCAACAACGATGGATCTCAAAGATGTGCTGAGCAAAAGAATTCAGATCCCAAAGAACACATATACTGTATGATTCCATTCCATCTCCCTCCCTCCCTCCCCCACACCTGTCTGTCTGTCTGCCTGTCTGTCTATCTCTCCAATCTATAGTGATGGAATACAACCTATGCTGACAGGAAGCAGGAAGCATCTGGGGTTACTTAGAACCTGCGGTGGAGGGGGGGCACCTGGGTGGCTCAGTCGGTTAAGTGGCTGACTTTGGCTCAAGTCATGATCTCGTGGTCCGTGAGTTTGAGCCCTGCGTCCGGGTCTGTGCTGATAGCTCAGAGCCTGGAGCCTGCTTCAGATTCTGTGTCTCCCTCTCTCTCTGCCCCTCCCCATTCACACTCTATCTCTGCCTTTCAAAAATGAACAAATGTTAAAAAAAAAAAAATCAAAAAAGAACCTGCGGTAGGAGGAAGGGATTAATGATTGATGAAAATCTACAAGAGGGATCTTTTTTGGGGAAAATGTTTTACATCTTGACTGGGGTGGTGGTTATACAAGTATATGTATATTTGTCAAAGCTCATTGATCAGTATGCTTAAAATGGGTGCATTCATTACATGGAAACTACGCCTCAAAGTTGGTTAAAAAAAAAAAAAGAAATATGGATTTTTAGTGAGCTACAAGGAAACAGATATCCTAAACACTGCCAGTGGGAATTGAATTGTACAGGCTTTAGAAAGGGTTAAAGAGTGAATATACTTGGGTTGAGCAATTCTACTTCTAATTTATCTTAAGAACATCACAGTGATGGGTGCCTGGGCGGCTTGGTTGGTTAGGTGATGGGCTCTTGCTCTCAGCTCAGGTCATGATCTCACAGTTCTGGGGATCCAGCATCCAGCCCCTCATTGGGTTCCATGATGACAGCATGGAGCTTGCTTGAGATTCTCTCTCTCTCCTGCTCTTACTCCCTCCCACTCCGTCCCCCACCCCACTGCATACTCACGCTCACTCTCACTCTCTAAATAAATAATAAACAAATAAATAAATAAATAACACAGTCTTTATCGCAGTGAAAACCTGAACACTAAATGCCTATCTTTAAGACAGTTTTATGGTATATCTATGTAGTGGAATACTATATAGAAATTCTAAATGCAAAAATTTATTATTTTTAATGTACATGTATTTTTGTAAGAGGGAGAAAGAGCAGGGGAAGGGCAAAGAGAGTAGGAGACAAAGGATCTGAAGTGGGCTCTGTGCTGACAGTAGAGAGCCTGATGAGCGGCTTGAACTCATAAACCATGAGATCATGACCTGAGCTTAAGTCGGCTGCTTAACTGACTGAGCCACCCAGTTTCCCACTAAATGTAGATATTTAATAAACTTTTTCTATTATTCTCCATTGTTACCTGAACTAAGCAGAGTACCAACAAGAACATCTGGTATTAATTCAATTAAAATATACATATTCATGTTAGAAACACGGATGGAATGGGTTTTATTTATCCTGTATACTTATTTGTATTTTCAAAATTCAATGATTTAGTTTTTATAATCAGAAAGGAAAATTAAGCTAAACTGTATTTACAACAGATATTACCAAATAGTTAACATCCTGAATATAAAAGATTATACGATTAATTAGTAAGCTACTATGAATATTTGGATAAAGCTGGAACACATTCATTAAAAAGAAAAAATAGCTAACATCTGAAAAATCTTCTAATGTAATATTAGGGGACCCTGGGTGGCTCAGTCCATTGAACATCCAACTCCTGATTTCAGCTCAGGTCATGAATCAGAGCTGTGGGATTAAGCCCTGTGTCAGGCTCTACATTGAGTGTGCAGCCTGCTTGAGATTCTTTCCCTCCCTCCCTCCCTCTCTCTTTCTCTCTCTCCCCCCTAGTCATGTGCATGCTCTCTCTCTACAATAAAATAAAAAGTTAAAAATACATGTGAACTTTTACAGAGATATTATTCACCTATCAACTTGGTAAAAATTTCTGAATACCAGAAGCAATTTAAGCATCCAACTTCAGGGTAATATAATAGAAGTGGTGGCATATCCATATGATGGATTTATATAACCATTTCACAGGAATTTGGGGTTTTTAATGATGAGAGAAAATGCTTAGAACAGTATCAACAAGCAAAAGATGGATAAAGACAGTATATATACAGTATGAGCTCCAGTATGTAAAATAAGACATAAAAAAGATAGTAGAAAAATATTAACAATAAAGTTTCTAAGTAAAGAAATTGAGTGTTTTTCCATCTTTTCTACTTGAATTTTCTGCAATAAATTCAAGTTACTTTTTATAAATATGTTACTTTTATAATCAGAACATTTTGTTTTTATTTTTAATGTTTATTTATTTTTGAGAGAGAGAGAGACAGAGAGTGAGCAGGGGAGGAACACAGAAAGAGGGAGACACAGAATTTGAAGGAGGTTCCAGGCTCTGAGCTGTCAGCACAGAGCCCCACGTGGGGCTTGAACCCACAAACCGTGAGATCATGACCTGAGCCAAAGTCAGACACTTAACCAAGTGAGCCACCCAGAAACCCCTATAATCAGAATATTTTAAAGGGTGAAATGGATTTATCATCCCTAAAAAATTAACATATATATCTCCCTCACCTCAGCAGTTTTATAAATTCTATCAAGGATACATATATAGTAATGAAAAGATCACAGCTTTGTTGACAGCAGGGTTGTTATAGGAAGAATAAATTGAAATCTCATTTTATAAATGACCAAGATTTTTAAAGAGGGATTATTATTATTATTTGACCAGCACAGGGCACTGCACATGTTAAGTACAATTGAATGACATTAAGCTATAAAAATATTTTACACATACCAGCTAATCTTTTGAGGAAAGCAGCTTGAGACCATGCTAGGTAAGTGGGAGAAACAACACCGAGGCCTTTCTTGAAACAGATATAAATAAATAAAAGTTGGTTGCAAAAACAAAGATGATTATGACTACAGGGAAGAAAAACCTTATGGTGTGACACTGTATCTGAATAACCTAAAAATTAAGAAAGTCTCAAGGTAACACAGGCGACCACTGTAGAAATCTGCTGACAGCAACAGTCAGAGCTAAAAGATATGGAATGTTTAGGTGCTTCTAATTCATTTTTTTTTCCTCTTTTTAAAAAAGGTTTATTTTTATTTTGAGAGAAAGAAAAAGAGAGTGCATGTGAGGAAGTATGGGTGGGGGGCAGAGAGAATCCCAAGCAGCCTCCACGCTGTCAGAGCAGAGCCTGATGTATCTTAAAGGCTTAATCTCAGCTCTTCAGTAGCTGAACGAAATACTAAATGTGTACTTGAACGTCAA